TCTGGGAATTTGTGTGGGAATGGTTTTTAATGGTGTGGGATACTGCTGCCGGGAACATAAAACATAAAAGTAGACCAAGTTGAATTTATTGATATGCCTCTGAGTGGAGATTCTGGGTTTAATATGGAAGCTTACACGGTTTAAAAAAAAAGTGTCAAAAGTTTGTGTGAATGATTGACTGAAGCACTTGTCAAAAGATGACCTACTGAAAAAGAGTTGCCCATGTTCGCTATCCCTTGGCTTAGGGTTAAAGAAGGCATTTTAAGGCTCAGGGAAATTTGTAGTGCTAGAGAAGGTATGTTGTGTAAACCCTAATCCTCAACAATGGGAAGGCCCAGAGAAATGCCCTTCAGTGATCCTGTCAGATGCAAAGTGGTGAGAGGGGCACATTAGTTGGTTTTTAATATTGTTTAGTTAACCTTTTTTCCCCATCGCTTTTCCATACTGACCACAGTTTCCCTCACTCCTTTTTTTCTGCTCCCTTGTGGATTTCCATCAATCCCCCTCCCCATCCACTCCTCTTCTGTGTCTATTCAGAAAGGGGCATGTTCTCCATGGGCTTGAGCAAAGCATGGGCCATCAAGCTGAGGTAGGACCAAGCTTCCCCTCCTACATCAAGCCTGAACAAGGTAATGCAGCATGGGGAACTGCTTCCCAAAAGCAAGCTGAGTACTAGGGACAAGTCCCGCTCTAACTTGGCTAGGAGACTTACAAACAGATCAAGCAACAGAATTGTCACACCCGTGCAGAAAGCCTAGGTTGGTACTTTGCAGGCTCCCTAACTGTTGTTTCAAAGCCTACGTACTCCCACAAGCTCAGGTTATCTGTCTCTCTGCATTCCTCTCTCATGTCCTTGACCCACCCCCTTGCTTGTATAATCACTCCTTTCTTTCTTCAGGAAGATGCCTGGAGTTCAGCCCAATGATTGGCTGTGGTCACAGCATCTACTTCTAACAATTACTGGATAAAGACTTTGTGGTGATACTTAGGGTAGTCAACAATCTGATTACTATGCATGGCCAGTTCAGACACCCTCTCCACAATTGCTTAGAGTCTTATCAGGGGCATCCTTGTGGATTCCTGGGAGTTCCCTAGCATGAAGTTTCTCACTCATCCCGAAATTGCCCCCTATTAGGATATCATTATCATTACTCTCCCTCTGCATCCAGCCCTCCAACTCTTTTCCCATGCCCAAGCTGTCAACCCTCTCCTTCAAGTGCCCCCACCATGGCCCCAGATTACCCAGGAAAGCTCTTCTATTTCCTCTTCCCAGGGAAATCCATGCATTCCTCTTTGGACCCTTGTTATCTAGTCTAGTTGAAGAGTAGGAGAAATGAGAATATGAACAAAGATATCAAGACCATGATTGGAATTCCCACTGAAACAGCTTACATGAGCTAATTGGGAACCCACCAACTCTGGCATGATAGGTAAGGAACCAGCACAGGACCAAACTAGACTCTCTGAAATTTTTACCACATTCAAATACATTTCCTTCACTGTCAATTCTAGCAGTCATTTCTTCTAGAGATAACACTGCATTTTGAATAATCTTTCCTTGTAGATTTCGGGATTTTAAAAATACCATTTAATTCACTGCTGACTTTAGATTATGGGTAAATATCCATGAATATTATACTTTCCTGGTATTTGTTGGTTTTAAACAATAGGAGAAGACAATTGGAAAAATAGATGCACACTGTTACAAAACTTAGATGTGAGAAGAACTTGATAGATCTGAGAGATTAGGAAGCCTCTGTCTGAGAGACTGTCCAAGGGAAGACTAGACTAGTGTGGTCTTCTACTACAAATCCTGAGCACCACATTCTGAAAACCACATATAACAATTTGAGCTTTATTTACTTTAAACAGTTCACATTGAAACACATTATAGTGACCTTTGAATGGAAGCTTCAGATATGTAGAAATGTATCTGTTCAGAAGCTGGTGTTTATTTGAAGAAATGTCATTTCTGTATTTTTTTTAGGGGAAACATTTAAACCATGGGATATTCATACCATCCTAGAATGACCTTGTGCTTAGTTTCCATGAAGTGGAAAATGTACTTTATCATTACAGATATGAACAAAATTGTGTCAAGGGACACATTTGGCTTCCATATTTAATACTGCTAAAATTGAAACACAGTATCTTACATTGGATTCTGTCTGTTATAGGGCAAGTGTCATGAAGTGATGTGTCATGTGGAAATGTCCTGATCTTTCCCATGAAAGTCATACATTGCTATGCCCATTTTTTCTTGCATTTTGATGCTGACTATGAATCCCCTATGCATCAAATTTTAAAGATTGTAAATTCACAACAGCTTTATCTTTTATCCTGGCTCTCAAAATTCTGTTGTGCTGTCACTTACATGAACTGAGGCATATCCTGATGTTTTAAACTCATATTATGACTATTAAAATATTCAAAGAGAAATTATTATTCTTTTAAAGCTGGTGTGTGTGTGTGGAGACAAACACAGGACAGACAAAACACGCACGAAAAGAGAAGACACAGAACGCAGCTCCCACGTGGGTGCGCTTTAATGGGGGGGACACGATAAGGGACAGGTGTGCAAGACACACAAGGGTAAGGGGCAAGAGAGCGAGACCTCGTGGAAGCTCGCTTTTTAACAAGAAGCGCAAGGGTATCTGGGAGAAATGTCCTGCATCTGTGCACACCCACGCACGCAGGCGTCCGTAATCCAGGAGGAATCTGGGAGCTGTAGTTTCCAAAAGGAACAACAGAAATATTCTTGGAGAATATTTTCATTATTCATTTCCGTTGGTTTTGTGGTTATTTGTAACATGAGGGGCCTGCTGGTTGGGGATTCTTTCCCACAGCCGGCAAGCCCCAAAGAAAATCACACAGAGATCTCACTAAGTTATAAAACTGATTATTAGTTCAGTCTTCTTATTAGCTCTTGTAGCTTATATTAACCCATGATTCTTATCTATGTTAGCCACATGGCTTGATACCTTTCTCAGCAGGGCAGGTCATATGTTGCCTCTTTGGTGGTCTGGCCTGGACTCCTGTGAATTGATCATTTCAGGCAACAGTCTTGAATCCATTCTGGATGTAGAACTCTGGTATTGGGCCATCTGTTCCTACCGGAGATTTTTCAGGTGGGCTTCCTCCTTCCAGCATTCTCCTGTTCTCATTGCCTCACCTCTACTTCCTGTCTGGTTGACCCACCTATACTTCCTGCCTGGCCAATCAGCATTTTATTAAAATACATGATTGACAGAATACAGACAATTCTCCCGCACCACTTCCCCCCCTTTTAAAAACAACAACAAAAAAGAAAAAAAAAGGAAAATACCCATAGTCCATTTTTTAGGAATGCAGGCATAGTATTCCAGGCTACTTCCTGCTGGTTGGTGGCACTGATAATCTTAAAAGGACCTAGAGAAAATTAGAATTATAATCAAGTCCTGACTGGAGAATCCTGTGAGTCTTGATCATCTCAGGCAGCAGTCTTGAATCCGTTCTGGATGTAGAACTCTGATATCGGGCCATCTGTTCCTACTGGGAGATTTCTCAGGTGGCCTTCCTTGATCGAACCTGATTTTTCTTAATTCATAATGAATCCACAGTCTTTCATTTCCTGTGGAAACAAAAGCAAAATCTCTTCTCCAAATTAACATACCTTTTGACTTCAATTTTATTTTTTTTAAAGATTTATTTATTTACTATGTATACACCATTCCTTCAAAGTATGCTTGCATGTCAGAAGAGGGCTACAATGTGGTTGTTGGGAATTGAACTCAGGACCTCTAGAAGAGCAGTCAGTGCTCTTAACCTTTGAGCCATCTCTCCAGCCCTTGACTTCAATTTTAAAGTCAAGGTATTTTCAAAATACCTATCTTGGATTAATTCAGCAGCATTTATAAACAAATATCTTTTAGCAGCTGTTGCTCCTTTCTCGGCATTCAAACAATTCAAAGAGAGCATAATAGCATACAGTATCAAGATTCTCTGTGTATTTTCCATCTTTCTGCAGCTTTATTTTAACTTCTATTTCTTTTATATTCAGTTTTACTTTTTGAGACAGGTTCTCTGTATATCTTTGTTCTGGAATAACTCTGTGACCAGGCTGTCCTTGAACTCACAGAGATCCTTCTGTCTCTGCCTCCCAGGCTTTGGGATTAAAGGTGTGTCCTGCCACACCTTGAAGTCACAGAGGTCAATCTACCTCTGCCTCCCAAGTGTTGGGATTAAAAAGGTGTGTACCACCCACCACACCCAACTCTTTTAGAGACTTTCAGAATATGGCATTTGATATGTTTTAATAACTTATACTTTTCATGACAATGAGACACATCTTCATCTGGGTAAAACAAGTACTTCATACCAATTCCCCTTATCTATTCAATATGTTTTCTGAGGTAAGCATCACACCCTTGCAACTTTAGTCCTTATTGTGTACTGTTTGCAGTGCTCAATAATGCAAGGTGCTCCAGGTGTGCCAGGATATTCTTTTCTTTTTTTCTTTTTTGGTTTTTCAAGACAGGGTTTCTCTGTAGCTTTGGAGCCTGTCCTGGAACTAGCTCTTGTAGACCAGGCTGGCCTCGAACTCCTAGAGATCTGCCTGCCTCTGCCTCCCGAGTGCTGGGATTAAAGGCGTGCGCCACCACCACCCGGCCTGTGCCAGGACATTCTTGTGACCAAAGTCATCTAAGGGCTCTAAAATTCCCTCAGAGAAACAGTTCTGCCAATCACAGAAAAATAATCACTCTTTTTTACAATGGTTTCTTCAGTGTCTGAGTACTTCTAGAAAACAACTAATCCTTTTAATGTTTAAGCTAGATACAGTTACTCCTTCTAATGTTTACCCTAGATAAAATGATTCTTCTAGATTCCCACTGCTTTGAGCCAGAACTCATTGTGAAGTTCAGACACAGGGGTGCAGTTCTAGCCTAGGCTGGCAGCAAGCATGTGGGGAGGCTGTGCAGAGCGGGTCTAGGGCAGCCTGACAGCTGGAGGGGTCCCCGATGTGGGGCGGGGACATTTGCCTGCTCACTGGAGTTTAGGGATAAAAACCAACAAAGAACAAAACAAAACAAAAACAGAAGGATGTACTTGAAAAACTGCTGCTGGAAAAAGAGCCCGCGGTAGGCGGGTTTCGAGGGAGCACGTGACGGGAAGTGGTGTGTAATTGGGCGGGGCCCGGAGGAAACGTTCCAATGAACCAGGCTGAAGGTACAGGAAATTCCGCCATTCCCTGTTGGATTCAGGGAGCCGCGTCTGGAACCGGGTGAGGAAGACCGCGCTATGAGTTTGGGGACCTGAAAACTCCCCGGAGCCGTAGTCGTCGAGGAGCGGCCTGGGGAAGTCAGCAGCGCAGTGGCGGGAACCGCAGCCCGGCGGCCCTGGAACCTCCCAGGTCAGAGGAGCTGCGGGGCTGGGATCCAGCAGGGAAGGGGCGGCGGTGTGAGCTGAGGCTGCTCAGGACACTGTCAGCTCCTGCCGGTCGGTCTGTTGTGGCGACGGAGGCGGTGGCAGCTTAAGTCATCGTCGTGGCCAGGCGCGGCAAATTCCATCACTACAAACTGGGTTCTTCTCTATACCCCATGCGCACCCTTAAAAGTGTTCGTCTGTCACAGTTCTCTTGATTGCTCCTCGCTTGCTCTCTTATCTGTTCTGTGTGTGTCTCTGCCTCCCTTATGTCCCCAGTCCGAGACGGCCTTTAGCTTTCTTGCTCATCTTCTTCCCCCTATAAATCTCTCATCATAGACCTGTTTACAGGTGGCGTGTTTTCTTAGCGGCCCACCATGACCGGCTACCAGAGGCCCCACGTTTTATCCCACTTTATCCTTATAGCTTTAAATATTCTGTTGGTATATCTCAGTTGTCAGTAAGTTTGAGATACCATTAAGTGTGTCTTACCGTGATTTTTTTCAATTATTTTACGATTACTAGGCTATTCTGTTATAAAATAATTCTTAAAATAACGTAGTAGATCATTAGCATTGTCTGCTGTTTGTAAACAGGGTTCTCTTTGCCTTTGTGGCATTTCCAAAGCTCCTGGAATTTATATTCACCCGTGCCTTCTAACTTCCCCGTTTTACCACTTGCCTGTTCAAGAAGCGTGGTCCTTGCTCCTGAGACTAGGCATCCCCAGGGAGCTTTGTAGATAGCTATTACATAAGGAACCGGTGAAGATCTGATTAAACAGAACTGCCATATATATATATATGGTTGTAAGCATCTAGCTTATCTTTTACTCCTCACTATTTTTCCATATATATCTGAGATATATGCAGTCTAGGATGTAAATACAGCCTTTACAAATGTGTCTTCATATGCTGTGTTCTTAAGTTACGTCTCAGTCCCGGCAAGGCCAGCAAGAGTACTGTGAGAGTACATTAGTTCACAGTATTTTATAGTTAGTCCACTCGGTATACATCAAACAAAAATTTTAGAAAGCATCATTTGAATTATGAACATTCACTCACCTGTATGAGGAAAATGTCTCCTTGGTTGAAGGAAAGCTCTCTACCATTGTACACCTGGCCGAACTGTCCTTTTTTATTTCAGGGTTTGTTGACATGTAGTGCTGTTGACTGAAATCCTTGTAAGCGTGGGAATGCCTCGAGTTTCCTCACAGGGTTTTTTGCAGAGATCTGTTGAAGTACAGCACTCGAGATTCTGAAGGTGAGAATAGTCTTGCAGTCTCCCTGGCTCTTCCTCGGGGTTTCTGGGAAAACTACTCTGCCTGTGTGTGAATGAATCTCAATTGCAGAGTAAAGTGAAATCTTCAGAGAAGAGAGACATTTGTCTTGGTATTTTCTCCTTCATGTTTATCCTTTGGCAGATAACTTTTGAAAGTTAGTAACTTTTAACTTTTAACTTTTGACTTTTGACTTTTGAAAGTTAGTATCTTTCATTTTTGTTCTGTGAAAAGGTCTAGGTGCTTTCTGAAGAATCTCTTCTCTTGTGCAGGTCTCAGTTACTCCTGCTCACCTGTGAAGCAGAACCAAGAGCCCTGGGTGGTGTGAAGAGAGTGGAGGAGACAGTAGCAAAGGATCCAGGTGTGCTAGAGGGTCTGAGGAAGGGATGAAGGGTTGGGGAAGGGCTCAAGTGACAGCAGAACCAGGATATGAAATTGGTTTTGCCACATTCTATTTCATTGGAAGCGATTCTAGAGAATTCCACTAAGAATAATCTGAATTATGGCTTTGTAGGTGTTTGAAGATTTTATACATAATTATTAATATTCAGAGGCAAATAAAATTTTTTGACTTTACATGGGAGTGATGCTGTCCATATTTCATTCACATTGCTGGTTGTGGTTTTATACTAATAATGAGTGATTCCATTACTATCATTTCAATTTGGTGCTTAATAAAAACCATTGAAGCCTCTTGGTTTGTCCTGCATGCAGAGTTTTTGGGACATCATTTAGTTCCTTCAGGTTCTGTGTCTCTTGGGGTTACTTTCTCTATTTCCTAATATAATGCCCACAGGATTTTGATAAGATTTGCTTAATATCTCTGCCAAGTATTAACCTCCATTTCCCCTGTCTTCTCTTTGGTACCCGTCGGTGTCTGTCTTCAACACTCCACTGCTTGCATCACTCCATTTTTTTTGTTTGTTTTTTGTTTGTTTATTTTGTTATTTGAGACAGGGTTTCTCTGTGTAAAAGCCTTGACTGTCCTGGATCTTGCTCTGTAGACCAGGCAGGCCTCATCACTAAAACTTTTACATATTTTGAAATTGCCTCTGGTTTTTTTCTTTTTCTCAAAATATTTTAGTCATCGCAGTTTCTCACATTTTTATAAATTTTAGGAAGATTTTCTCTCTATGAAAGAATGTCTGTATGACCTTGGTAAACTTCGAATCTTTCTAGAACATGAACAACCTTTTACATTTCTTCCCTGGTTTGAATGAGAACATGGTTTCGGTGAGTCAGTATTAACATGTATTTTTTGTTATTCTCTTTTCTATCTACTGATGATGTCAACATTCAATGTTCTTGTTGAAGACGGTTTTTAACATTAGCCTTTACTAATTTTAAAGATTTGGTCTATTTTTAAGACATATCTACATTGTCCCTTGCTGATTGACGTTTGAGAAGACTGAGCATCTTCTGCTGTTGTGTAGATGATTCTGTGCAGGCCTGCTAGTCATTGTTGGTTTTCTGTGCTTCCTGTTCATGGTTGTCTTTCTCAGTGGTTAACACTGAAGCTTTCCTGCATCACTGACTATTTGTGTCCTACAGTTCTGTCATTGATCTCATGTATTTGAAAACTTTTATAAAATGCCTTTGTTTTGATCATATAGCATTCTGGAAAGGTACCATTTGGTCATTTGTTAATATCCTCTATTTTTATATTTATAGATTTGGCTTTTCCAGTTACCATAATTATGACCAGCCTTCTTCACAGAAATCTTTTAAAAAATTCCTTCACTCTTAGCACTTTGTATCCCTACACTTGAAGTAAATACTTTTATAGGAAGTATATATTTTGATTTTAGGGTGTTTTCTCTTTTCTTTTGAGGCTGTATCCTATTTTCATGTTTGTTTTGAGGCATATTAAGCATATACATTTCCAGAAATCACTGAAGGAAAATATAAGCACATACTATTTTTGTTAATTTTTTTGTTGTGTTTCTTTTCTTTTTTTCTGAATTTCTATTTTATTGTTTGCTGTATATTTTATTCCTTTATGTACTGAGTAGTATCTTCTGTATGCTTTCTCTTTTTATTGTTTGGTTGGTCACTAAACTGCCTGGTGGCTGCAGTTATTTGAAATCATACCTAGACTGTCTCTGTGTGTTCTTCCTCCTGTAGTGTCTTCAGTGTTTTTAATTATTTAGGACCTTGATTTTAGACACTGACTGGGCAGAGCGAGAGACCTTTGTGTTCAATAGATGAATGTTTTTTACATGACTAAACATGTGGAGCATGTGTTTACATTTAGGCTATGTCAAAGCTTGTGTGCATTGCCACTTTTTTAGAGCTTATTTCTTGATTATAATATTTGCTTTGTACTTTTTTGACTTTGTTAAATTCTGAGTATTTATGTATTATATTATGAAATATTTCCTAATATTTTTTTCCATTTTGTAAGCTGTTTCTTCATACTTTCAGTTATTTTCATTTCTATGCAATTTTTTCAGTTGCACACAAATTTCACCAATTTGCTCTTCATCTATTTTCATGTTTTTTAGTCATGGATATTTACCTTTTCTTATAGCACTGGTTGACATGGCTCTCTCTTGTGTAACAAGTTTTTGGTGTTTTGGTGAAATTCAGTTCATCATAGAAGGTTGGATTAGTCCTGGATCTGCCGCTGCCACTGCCAGGTGCTGTCCCTGTGGAACTACAGTGCCATCTGAAGTCACAGCTGGGATGACTCATGCTTTGCTCTGTGTGGCTGTGCTTGTTCTGCACAGTTAGGACCTTTGTAATTTTGTAATTTGTAAATAATGTAAATCTGTAGGAGTCTCTTCACTGTACCCATGAAGTAAATCGTGGGTAGCTTGATTGTCATGGAATTTGAGTTAATCATAAATCTTTTAACACTGTCATTTTCACAGTAATGCCTTCTTTTTCATGTGCATGTCTATTTTTCATATCTTCTAGTGTCATTCTATATTCCTTCAGTGAATTTAAGTTTCTGTTTTATAAGTCTTTCTTGTGCTTGGTTAGTTTTTTCTTTTTTAATACCATTTTTTATTGTTGAAATAAAACCAGATAGTATCAAACAAAAGTCCTACCTCCAAATATCTCCTCTTAAGTTCTATTTGTACAAGTTTGTAATGTATAAGTATTGGTATTTAATGATTTCATAGATCTGTTCACTCACAGTTACCCCTTTTTACCCTTTGTCCTATTTCTGGGTAGACACATTTCCTTCCAAGTTGTTCTACCTGTAGTTCATGTATGATTTTGACAGATTTGTGCCAAGAATCCCGGCCATAATGTACCCATAATTCCAACTGGAATGTGATATGGGTGGGGAGTTTTTCACATGTGATCTCTCCATCTTCCAGCTCTTAAAAATCTTTTACCTCTTCTTCTGTGTTGTTCTCTGCAATTTAGATGTGAGAAGATGGAATTCCCATTATAGTCTGTGCAATAAGCCGTCAATTGTTCTTAGTATTTGATGAGTTATGAGTGTTTGAAATACTGTTGTCTATTAAAAACAAAGTTTCTTAGACCCAGACTGAAAGTCACACCAGGCTGTGGTGTGATTAGAACCAGTAAGAGTCAGTTTGAATATTTCTACATGTAGCAGAATGTCAGTAGAGGATTCCCTCCGAGGGCCTGTGACGTTCACCATCACTGGCTTTTTGCCAGGTTTCTAGTACCATCTGTGTATTTCCTTCTGTATCGCCAGCTTTAGGCCAAACTAGAAGGCCTTCTGTTACCCACAAAGTAGTCTCGCCACTCTGACAGTAGGCCTTCCTTGCCTAGCAGGTTTGTATTATAGCACACAGGATGCAAATATCTCTTTCCCCTGTTCCAACCCACATAGCATTTTTGACACTATAAATGCTACCACTGGGGAGTCTAAGAAATTTTTTAGACACTGTGAGTGGTCTGTTTACTCCTCAGCATCTTGTTGGTACTTAAATATTTAAAAGGGGGGGGCATGTTCTGTGTGCATTATACAACATATGAGAAGGTCTAACAGATATTAGCTGTCTCATGAGTATCTCTACCTTTAAATTTCAGGATTCTATTTCTTATCTAAAAAGTCCCTCCCCCCTTTTATTTTATCCTATGTTATCAGCATTAAATTTTTCTCTGTCTTTGAAGTGTGTACCCACTGATGCAATATTTTGAGTGTGGAAGTCACCTTTCTCTGTCCTGATTAGGGCAAAATGATTCCAACTGTTGTTTTGTATTGTTAGGTGTAAGATTGTGTCTCATTGTTTTTGCTGTGCTGAGGTATATTCCTTTTTTTTTTTTGTCACACTCTTCAGAGTTTTTATAATGAGCAGATATACTTTGCCACAGGCCCTTCATCAATCTATTAGCATGATCGTATTTCTTCTATCACTGAGTCTAGATTTGTTGCCTTACATTGATTAATATATAGGTGTTGAAACAGTCTTGAATTCTTGTATTAAATCATCTCGCAGTCCATTTCCATGTAATTTAGAGACATTCTCTGTGTCTGTGTTGAATCTGGAATCTGGTCTGTGGTTTTTCTTTGAATATATTTGTTTGGACTCATCTGCTTTTGGTGTCCACGTAAAGCTAGCTTTGTATGATGACTTTCTAACATCCCTTTATGTTTTGTGCACTATTTTCCTTGTGGTATTATTATAAGGTTTGTCTAAAGGAAAGGAGAATTCTGTGCCGGGTCTGTCCAGTACTCAGACACTGATAGAGGAGACTTCTTGCTTCAATCTTAGTACTGCTTAATTCCTTTTCTAGTTATTTACCCTGGCAGGTTGAGTTTTTTACTTGTTTCTAAGAGCTTATCCTTTCCTTCAGTTCCAATTTCTTTTTGTATGACTTTCTACAGTACTCCTCCATAAGGTAACTCTGATGTCATTGGGATACACTTCAATGCCCTTTTTTCAATTCTAGTTCTGTTATTTCAGGATTCATTCTTTTAGTTTGGATTAGGTGAAAAATGCTTCATCTGTACTTTTGTCAATTTACGGAAACAAATTCTGTTTCCTTGACTCACTGTATGGTCTTTATTTCATTGTTGTCTTTATTTCACTAATTTCTACACAACCTTTTTAATATCTTTCAATATACTATTTCAGATTGACCTATTCTTGTGCTTGTAAACCCTCAGTTACATTATTATGGAAAAATATTTTTTACATCCAATGCCCATTGCTGCCAAAATTTCTTAGTGTATCTTTGTCACCCTACTTCTGTGTCAGTGTTTTTCTTCCTGACACTATGAAAGTGTCTCTAGTACTCCATAAATTGTCTTACTCTTCATTGATTTAATACCACAATACCTAATTAAGGAACAGTAAACCAAGTGCTGGAGATTTGGCTCAGCAGTTAAGAGCACTTGTTGCGCCAGGCGGTGGTGGCGCATGCCTTTAATCCCAGCACTTGGGAGGCAGAGGCAGGTGGATCTCTGTGAGTTCGAGACCAGCCTGGTCTACAGAGCTAGTTCCAGGACAGGCTCCAAAGCCACAGAGAAACCCTGTCTCAAAAAAAAAAAAAAAAAAAAAAAAAAAGCACTTGTTGCTCTTACAGTTTACAGGTTTAGTTCCCTGCACATACATGGTGACTTAGCTCACGTTTCAAAGGATCGATTGCCCGTGTATGGCCACAGCAGGCACTTCACGTATGAGGTGAACAAACCTCCCCACAGAAAAATAACCATGCACACAAACTTAAAATATAGAAATTGTAAGAAAGAGAAACAGTAAATGATCTACAGGTGTTATACAAGAATTCAGGATAACAGGACAGGAAAGAACATGGAGGTGTCACTCCTAGTGTGAGAGTAAGTGTGGAGCCTGCATATGTGATTTCAAATGGCAAACTAAAGAAATAAATGTTGTCAGGTGTGTGTGTGTGTGTATAATTGTATATTATTGTATATATATTTTATTATATAATGTAATATATGTATTAGTTTTATTGTTTTGGGAATTTCATTCATGTATATATCATATGTTTGATAAAAATCACCCCCAGTCCATCAGGTCTAATTAACCATACCATAATACTTAGCCACATCTCCATATTTATCTCTGTATTCATGTCTTTTGGAATGAACTATGTCTATGGCAGCTTAGTTCTATGCATATGAGCCACATCTTTGAGGAAAACTGACTGCCTCTCCCAAGGCCAATAGTTGCCTGTGATATCTCATAGTGCTGTAATGAAACATCAGAGAACTGAGCAGAAGACAGGGTTCATGGAACATTTTATGGTTGCAGAGCCTTCCAGAATGGGCATTTTTGGGTTTTCAAGTTCAGAGCTGGAGCTTTTTACTATGTAAGGCAGAGCTCTGGAGGTGCTTTGTCTGGCCATTAGGGTTGTTAGAGTGTTCTGTGTGTGGACTCTGATAGTTGGAAGGCCTTAGTGTTAGAGCATGACCAATAAATAGTATGCCTCAAGGAGCTTACATTCCTCCCTTTTTTGTTTACTATTGGTAAACGGTCAGGTCGGGAAAGGTTCGTGACATTTCATTAGACTACTTCTTAATTAATGGAGGTACTCTATTGATACCAGTGACCTGTTTGAACAATAACTGAAACAGGGCATGAGGATTAAGAAGGAAAGAGAAAGAAGATAGAATTGGGAGGATTTTCAGTGAATACTGTAGCAGCCTTGAGTTTATTATCAAAGCCCTTTAATACCCAAGAAAAGGGGAAAGGCAAAAGACTTCCTTACCATGGTTCAAGGAACAAAAAAAGCGTAATCACCTCCTTAATTAGCCAGACCCCCTACTATTTAGCTTTAAGGAGCAAGCTTGAACCCTGTGACCTTGAGTCAAGATAAAATGGAGTCTCACTGTGGGCTCCCACAAATATCAAGGTCCTTGGGACCATCTTGACCTTCACCACCAAAATATAAGTCTTTGACTGCATAGCAAGATGGTTGGTGGTAACCTGTAGTAGCAGCTTGTTTAAAGTCTGTTTAGAGCCGGGCGGTGGTGGCGCATGCCTTTAATCCCAGCACTCGGGAGGCAGAGGCAGTCGGTCTACAGAGCTAGTTCCAGGACAGGCTCCAAAGCCACAGAGAAACCCTGTCTCGAAGGAAAAAAAAAAAAAAAGTCTGTTTAGAAATCTTTTCTATCTGTTGTTGAAGAAATCCAGACAAGAAGTTTATAAGGTAGGGTGGGATCAGTAGGGTTAAGAAAAGGAGGAAAAGGAGGGTTAAAAGGGTAATATCAAATTCCATTGGGCTGTCAGTGATTCACTGAATTCACAGATATTCACTGTCATCAAGCTGTGTCTTACATTTTTTGAAGACCCATATACACTTCTCAGATCTTTTACTATAATTGACTTGTTGACACAGAAGCAACATTCATCCCTTAAGAAGAGACAAAGATTTTTTTTAAAATATGTTTATTTATTACATACACAATGTTCTGCTTGCATGTATACTTGCAGGCCAGAAGAGGGCACCAGATCTCATTACAGATGGTTGTGAGCCACCATGTGGTTGCTGGGAATTGAACTCAGGACCTCTGGAACATCAGGCAGTGTTCTTAACCTCTGAGCCATCTCTCCAGCCCAGCAAAGATGATCTTATCTCTGATGTTGGTAAATGCAGTCCTAGTCAATGGTGTAGCAGTATGGCGGTCAGTGAATCTAATTTTAGCATTGGAGGGTAAGGATGATCTGAGCCACCCAATGGAGTTCCTGGATGAACTTATATGAAAACTGACGGTAAATATCTAGGGAAGTAATCAGTCCTGCCACTGCAGTTGCAAGCCAGTGGTTATTCCCAGGACTGAGAGAAAGGGTAGGACCTGGAAGAGCTCATTTGTTATACCATGCATCTATAAACCACGTGATGAGAATCAGCAAGGATTCTTCACCAGGTAGCACTCCTAATTTTGGAAAAGGAACATGAGGGTACAAGATAGGTAGGGGTTGCAAAAACTTCACCCAAAGGAGTTTCTGCCTGCTTTGGCAAGAGAAAAACCTAGAAGGGCATAGGTAAGCTTAGAAAACCCAGCAAGTAGGCAGTGGTAAACCTGAGTGCTCAGAGGATAGAGGTGTAATTAATGTTCAGATATAAGGGTGGCTCACAGTGCTCAAAAGTCAAAGTATTATTACAGTCTGAGAGTTCTAGTGTGCCCAAAAATTGTGTCCCTGAGGGTTTATATAGTCTGCAGTACTCGAGAAAGGTATGGGAGAGATAGAGCATGGTACTGATAATAGGCTCAGAGCAATTAATGAGAGGTGAGATGACCATCTGATAGTCCAGTTGTGAGTCTAAGAATGGTGGTCATGAATTTGACCCTGAAGGGACACACAGCCAGCCCTTTCTGAAGCAGGCAAGCAGAGTATTATTTGGTAGCTGATATGCAATTACAGTGGCTCAGGTTTGTCCCATGGGATTTGCAGGACTGATATGGGTAACATCTTTAAATTTCTGGTCACTTTTTACAGTAGTCTTCCCTTTTGTAATAAAGAAAAGCAACATAGAGGTTAAGCCTTAGTGAAGGAAAATCAGATAAGGGAGTGGTAGGGGACTGAGTCAATTTGCCTTTGACAACCTGATACGGTGCATATTCCTGACACCGTTAAGTAGAGGTAGGGCCCCCTTATACATTAAACATCTGTAAGTAATAGCAGGTGTAGACAAGAAGAAATAGAGGGGGAGAGAGGAAGTTGAGACAAAAAAGATTTTCATATCATTTGTGCACTGGCAGAAGTTGTCACCATTGAAAATCCAGCATGTCAATTTTGACTATTGAACTGTACTGAGACCAAGTTGAAGTAACAGAGCAAAACTTTAATGATAATGAAATCTGAGTCCCCGAAGAAAGATAGGTAGGGTTGCAAAAACTTCACCCAAAGGAGTTTCTGCCTGCTTTGGCAAGAGAAAAACCCAGAAGGGCATAGGTAAGCTGTGAGACTTCCAGGATGGAGCGGAGAGACAAGAGGGACAAGATCACAGAGGCTTAAGGAAGTTATGCAGCTTAACAGGCTTCTCCTTGGGGGACAAGCTAAGGAGATAAGGTTGTTGGCTCCAATAGAGGGAGAGGAGCAAATGTCTTAATAACTAGAGAGCTGTCCATATGGTAATGCTCCAGAGGGCATAACAGGCTCCTGAAGCAAGCAAGAAGCCACTTACTCAGTAGGTGATGAGCGATGGAGGATGGGTCAGGTGGAGGGAATAGGCACATGATGTGGCCAACTCTAGAATTTGGAAATGAATATGATGGGTGACCGAAGTCAGCAGAAACAATTGGTTCATACACACCTCAAGACAGTCAGTTTGAGATGTTGAGACACGGCATGGCTAAAAGTTCAGTGTGGCAACTTCTACCTGTGCTACGTGAAGACAGAACTCTGGAAGGAAGTATTGTTTGCAGACATTTGTTTGTTAGATGGTGGGACAGGGAGTGAGGAGAGAAGACAGCAATAGGTAAACCAAAGTTTAGCTTCTTTCATTTGTTTAAAAGAAGTTAAGCTATGGCAAGGGAATTCTTTTTATATAGGAGTGCATAGAGGTGTAGCTTGAATACTATATTAAAGAAACATTGTTTTTAATTCTGTCTTTGGTAAATGGAATCCAATGACTAGAAAGTCCAGAGATAAATGTTGCACTCTGACTATCAGAGCAGGCATAGCAAGCAGCATTAGTGGGGGTATCTTGATGTTAACAGTGGCAAAGAATGCAAAATAAAACCAATAAACACAGAACAATGACTGCTCACATACTTAAAGAAGACCAGTGATAAATAAAACATACAGTGGCCACTGTCATACATTCAACTTTTACTGAACAATTTCCATCTCTGCTCCTATGTTTATAAAGAAACTTAGAGGTACTTAAGAAAACCTAGACCCATCTGCCTGCAGAAACAGACAGACAAAACTTTCCAGACAACCAGAATCAGGCAAGTAGGCTATATTTTGCCTTTTCCCCTTGATGGGTGTGAAAGGATTTGTAATTGGAGGAGAGGTGGATGAATGATGTTTGGCTGTCGAGGGATTTTTGGTGTCCCATTCTCAGGAATCCACTTGGGAAGCCAGCCAGTAAGGGAAAAGTTGTATCAGGTTGTGTGGTTTGGAGGAGGAGAATGGTGAGGCTGTGGTCAAGCAGATAGAGGGAGAAAACAAATAGAAATTCCTACTTTGACTAGGAAATTCCTTCTCAGCAAAGGTGATGGAGCAGCTTGCTAACACAAGGAAATTGTGGGTAAGGGGAATAATCCTAAAAATATAGGATAAGACTGGCAAGACTGTTCCCCTATTCCAGGAATAGAGAGGAGATATCAGTTCCCAAAATTCCATCAGTACCAAAACTGTGGCTCTGAAGGAAGAGATGGATTGCTCAGATGTCATAATGGCTACCCAAGGCTCCCTGTTGGTGATAGTGTTGTTGGGTGAAGGGAGTCAGGGGCCAACTCAGTCAACTATGGCCAGACGTAAGAGAGATTAGCTGAAGGTTGATCTGGACTTGTCCTCACTTGATGAAGGACTTGAGGACAGTAATCAAACCTGTTGATGGCATTATGGGAATGGTTAGAATGGTGTATGAGGGTTTGAACAGACCCAGATCCAGTGACTCTCCTGACCACATCTGGAAGGGACCTTGAAGTTCCTGGGCTTTCTGTGCCTGGGCAACTGCTATGGGTGGCTGAAAGTCCTTACCCAGCCCCAGGTATTTTTGATTTTTGGCCTTTTTTATTTTTACCATGGTATACCTCAAAGCCCATGGCTATGACTTCTACCTGTAGAGCCAGAGTTCCTTTCTCTAGATGTTTATGTTTGACCTTAAAATAAAGGAAATTCTGGGAGAAGTAGGTCATAAAGGATTGTTCTCTATCTAGGGTCTCACAATCCAGATTGGTGTATTGTAAGAGAACCTTCTTAAGGGGTTCTAGGAATTGAAACTGGTTTCTGTGTTTGTCCTGGTTGAACTCTTGGATTTTTTTTTTTTTTTTCATAATTTACTTCTTGAAGAGCAGCTTTGCAGGGCTGGAGAGATAGTCCAGCAGTTAAGAGCACTGACTGCTCTTTCAGAGGTCCTGTGTTCAATTCCCAGCAACCACATGGTGACTTACAACCATCTATAATGAGGTCTGGTGCCCTCTTCTGACCTGCAGGCAGATATGCAGGCAGAATACTATATAGATAATAAATCTTTTTAAAAAAAGAAAGAAAGAAAGAAAGAAAGAGAGAGAGGGAGGGAGGGAGGGAAGAAGGAAAGAAAGAAAGAAAGAAAGAAAGAAAGAAAGAAAGAAAGAAAGAAAAGAGCAGCTTTGTAGAGACTGGCCAGTAGTCAAGTTATAAACTGATCCATAGCAAGGATGCACCCTGGGTTATTGTAATTCCATTCAGGATCCTGGTCAAGGACTGTCTTAGCTTTGTCTGGGGCAGTGGAATTAGTTTGGTGGATTTTTCCTGCAGGTGCCCTATCCTGGTCCCAGACTTACCTGTGCTCCTTGGGGAAAAGGTTGTTGGTGAGAATCATATAGATGTGAGGTTGTAAGATTGGGTAATATACTGTCATTCTTTAATCAAGGTGGAAGAAGTAGCAGTGTAGGTCCCCAAGGTCTCTTCTATTTGAGAGTTTCCATAACGAGAAGGGGATATGTACTCTGAAAAGGCCATCACCCAGGCAACCTCCTACAAATGTGAGAACTGTGGCCAGTTTCGGCCAGTTGGGACATGTAAAGGTGATCTTTGGTGGAGCTAGAGGACTAATCGATGCCAGTGAGCTGAAAGTGGGTACCTGAATGGGTTGATTTGGGCAGCCTATCACTTAGGAGGCAGAAAGGGAGACCAAAGAGTTCAAAGTGGTAAAGAAGGGACTGTGGGTGGAGGCCAATAAGACGGAGGCTTTAAGGCATAATCAGAAATGGAGGAATCATCTGGCCTGGGCTTCATGGCTAGGAGGAGTTGTTTTTTTCCTAGTTGGCTTACACCACGTGGTTACTTTTTTTTCTTTAAGTTTTATTTTGAAACAGGTTTTGTTTGCGAAAAAGCATTAGCCATCCTGAAACTCACTCTGTAGACCATGCTAGCCTAAACCCACAGAGATCTGCATACCTCTGCCTCCTGAATGCTGGGATTAAAGACCTGCACAACCACCTCATAGCTGCCTGGTCACTTTTAGTCATGGGAGTGAAATCACACCCTTTCCAACCCTAACAACGATGGCTGCTAGCCACGTGGCTCTCTCTATCCCATTATGGGACAACGGGTAAAATGACAGCAAGCAACATGATTCTTTTAAGGTTATATATGTAAAATGGATGCATTTTTCCTGTCAACTCAGGTATTATGAGCTAGCCCTTTTGTTACAGCTTTTACAGGTTTTAAATTATACTCTATATGCTTACAAATTTGAGATAAGATTTATATCTTAGCAAATGTTTTAGAGAGTTAAACTCAAACCAAAATTTTGAGTATAAGTATCAATAGTCCCCATGGGGAATGGTATGCTGCTTAATTTTGTTTTGCTCTCCTTTCTCTGTCACGTAGTCATGTGACTATCCTGATAAGGGCTGGATATTTTGGAGGAAACCTTTAAATAAACATGCTTGGTTTTAGAGGAGGGGAGCCTAACCGAACTTCAAAGCCATCTTTTAATTGAAATGGGACACCACAAAAAAAATAGTCTAATGCCACTCATACCTAAAACCCCCCAAATATCTATAAAACTGAATTTAGTAAGCTGAGGAAATGAAGGCTTAGAGATAGGAAATACTTGAGCCCTGGCTAAACAGTGAAGATGCTGCAGGAGAGAGCTGAGAGACTACCAACTTTGGGTATGTGCACATAGCAGTTGATGCTGTAGGAGAGAGCTGAGAGACTACCAACTTTGGGTATGTGCACATAGCAGTTAACCTGATCCTTTGCTTTTTCCTTCTCCTGTTAGGTTTGGCTTCTGGCTTCCAAATTGCTTCACACTTACAGTTCCATTAACAATAACTGAAAAGTCCTGTGGGCTTGAGGGGGAGGGGACAAACCTGACAAGACCAGTAGGGCTTGGTACAGAGAAAAGAGAAATCGAGTATGGGGAATCTTTCCATTTCCCTGATCACTGACAGGATTTGTAATAATCCTGGATACTGTTAGGTATGAGGATGCTGTTAGTCAGCCCTCTGGTTGATTGTTTAAGGGGTATCGAGACTAAAGTTGCTAGCAAAAGCAAGTAAATTTGGGACCCTTTTGGTCAGCTATCAGGTAGAAAGTCTGGAGATTTTCTAAAAGATGAATGAATGAGTAATGAATGAGAGGGTATGGGAGATAATGTTTCCATGGGTGAGAGAAGAGCATGGGATGAAAAATGTCACTGCTGCTTGTTTTCTCAGGTAGCCCCAGGACTCAAGGAAGACCTAAGCCATTCAATGTGTCCTTACTGCATTCAGCAGGGGTCATGGGCCTAGTCTGGCTAAGCTGAAGGAGAGAACTGGCACCTGGTACCAAGACTTTCCAGAAAGCAAGGAGTGCATAAGGTGAGGACAAAAACTAAACTTTAGGAGAGGGGTCTTATTCACAAAAAGAATTAGAAAATGGAGTCACAAAAGCCACAGCAGCCTAGAGGAGCTAGGGAATGTGGGCAGCTCCAAACAGGAGATGGGAGAAGAAGCCAGGAAGTGGTGCATATAGTAACTCAGTTGGGCCTAAAGAAACTGCAGGATTGTAGCTTCAAGGGTGGGGAGCCAGGGTTAGGGAAAGAGGGCCAGCCATAGCCTTCAAACTCAGGGTACCTTCATTCCCAAGAGTCCAGAGGGCTGCTCCATGAACAGTGGTCACTTTCTTGAACTCAGGGAGGCATTTACACCAGTCAAAGTGGAAACACACTAAATTGCCTCTGGTGGATGGGTTACCATGCAATCTGTGAGCCAGAAGATGAGGATGAGTCTGTTGCAGGTGAGCCTGAGGTGAGGGATACTGTTCCAGTGCAGTTTAGACCCCAGGGCAAGTGCACCAATGTGTTACAGCTCTTAGGTGAAAGGCTTCCCAAGTGGTATTGTGAAAGCTCTGAGGGGAAAGGTTTCCTGAATTGGAAGTGTTACAGCTCTGCTCTCATGGGGAAGGTTTCCGCAATGCAAGTGTTGAAGCTCTGAAGAGAAAGGTATTCTTGTAGTTGGGTAGCAAGGAATACTAGAGTCACACCACATAGCAAACCTCAACCAAGAGTTTTATTTGGAGGGAAAATAAAAGAGGGTGTCTGCTTCTGCTTGGGAAGCAGTAGAGAGCTGACCAGAAGTCAGGGTTTATATAGTGTTTCATGGGGGCGGAACTTTCCATGTGGAGATTTCCAAGGTGAGGATTACTGTAATGGCATCCCCATCCTGTGTATATCTTTTTTGAGTGTTCATATCAATATAAATGATTTCCATCACTTAAATTTTAGCATCTTATAAAATTAGGAAAATTGGAGCCTCTAGGTTTGTATCTAGATCTACATTTGATATTTTTGGTAGGTTCTTTAGATTTTTTTGTACTTTAATTGTTACTTTTCCCATTTCCTAAAATGATGCCTTCATGACTTCAATAAGAATTGCTTAGTATTTCTGCAGAGTTTTAAATCTCTTAATTGTCATCCTATTGATGTTACTTGCTCTTTCTTCAAGCCAATACTCAATTGTTTTTATTGCATTGATATTAATAGATTTTGAAATCTCATTTTGCTCTTCTGAAAATTTTTGAACGCTGTGCTTTCTCAAAATTTCATATCAACTTGGCATATTTTTTCTGTTTTTCAAAAATTCTCCATTCCTGTTTAAATGAATTGTTTAAAATTCTTAACTAAGTGAAAGTCACTATTAGATTT